TTTCTGTCTCTCTGTCTCTCTTTGTCTCTCTGGCGAGCACACGCACCCTATAGCAAAAACCTCTCAAAAAAAAAAAAATCAAGTTTTTCCATGTTCATCCTTTTTCTTATTACAGAGGTCAGCTACTGGGCCAAACGTGGCCCATGGCTGGAATGTGTAAATATAAAGTTTTATTGGATCACAGCCACACCGACTCGTGGCCTGTGATGCCAAAGTGTTTACTCTCTGGCACTTTCCAGAGAACGTTTGCCAACCCTGGTCTGTGACCTCACCCAGTCCCTGGGCCTCACTCACCCCAAAGCCTTACTCTGTCACTCAGCCCCACCTGAGGGATGGGGCAGAGATCTGGGAGGGTCGGGATGGGTTGTTCAAAGGACTACCTGGTAATTAAACCCATTTCGATTTTAGCCATGTCAGAAATGTCCTGCTAGTATAAAGTTTTCCCAGAGAAGTTCCAGGTGTAGCTGGCCCTTGTCCTGGAATAGCCCAATCCTGACGGCGCTCCTCCCGGTCCTCCCTCGGGGCCTGGCCATCGCTGGGTCTGCCGTCCAGCCATGCCCTTGGTGGCTCCAGGCATGCCTCTGGTGGCTCCTCTGCTGCTGTCTCAAGCTTTCCTCCCCCAGCCGCACCACGTGAGCAGGGGCCCTTGACAGCAGCTCCCCCCTCTTCTCAGTGGCACGCTGGGGGTAGCCTGAGTGTTTCTGAGTGGGGACGCTGTTGGCATTTACAGGACCTGTGACACCCCTGGCTTCACCCACAAGGTGAGGGGACTTCTCATCACAGTAACCACTAACTGCAGCCCTCACCCTGCTCACCCCATGCCCGCACACACAGTGAGAACCGTGCAAGGTTGGCTGACCTTTAGGCCACCCACAGATGTGGGTGTTAGGTCAGCGCAGGGGTCAGGGGTCATGCACTGTGGGAAGCTGAAGTCACATGAGGAGGTTCGGGTACATGTCCCGAGGTCTCTGCCCGGCGCATGGCTGCCTGGGACCCCAGCTGCCTGAGCCTGGGGCTGGATCCAGCAGGAGGATCCTGTTGAGGGTGTCTCCCCTCACCCCCTTTCTACCTCCCTCTTTCTCCCTCTTTCTTTTCATGGAGGAAACAAACTTTTTTTTTTTAACGTGCTATAAGTTTATTACATGTTATGTACACAGCTCGTTTTTCCCTAGGTACTTAAAACTTTCACATTATACAACTCCCCACCTTAAACAAGTTTTGCAGAGATGACAGGGAAGCCAGATTACTGTCAAACCAGCTTGTGCAATACTGTGATACAAGCATTATTTCGAAAGCTGCCGAGTGACTGACTACCAAACACTACAAAACAGGGTTTTGGTGCAGTCGTTAGCAAACACGGGGGCCACTGGGGTAGACTGGCTTCAAGTGCCGTTTCCACATTGACCACTGTACAGTTTACTAAAAGGATACTATTCATTAAAAGAAATTCACATTTTCTTTGGGTAGTGCTTCAGATTGTTGGTTTAGTATTACTGGTTTGGGTGTTTCTAGGCCATTAAACTTAAATGTTCAATTATTCCCAATCCTTGTCTTAGCTAGCTGCATATCTGATTCACTCATTTTCAACCAGTAAATGTGATCCATGAGTGATCATCTTAAATTACTATTCTTTTTTCCCACAAGGAATGGAAAAGGCTGATTCTTTTACCATTCTCCAAATCTAAACTAAAGCAGAGTCACAGAAAAGCCACTCAGTTGAGAACACTTACTATCAAGTACAGTTAGGCTATTCTACGTTGCGCTGATGTGACCATGACATCGCAGAGCACAGACACGAGAGAAAGTGAAGTCTGTTTCAGGCCCGTTGACAACTCTCAGTAAACGTAAATTTAAACATTAGGACTCAGTCTTCATACCTGTACTCGAAGTAAGGTTTTTAAGTTGAAATGTCATTATTTCCCTATCTGAAGGGTTAAATGAAACAAGGACCCAGTGGCACGGTGGTTTGGGGAGAATGCTTGGTGACGGTGGCTCACTGAATTTGGCCCTCGCATAGTTCTGATTAGCTTGAGATTAAAATAGTAAACTGGGACTGGACAAGCCCGAGTTCCAATGTTGATTATTTGACAGGTTTTTGCTCTGCCCCCATGTCTCGTGGCCTGCTGTGAGGCTGCAGATGAATTGTAACTATGTGCTCTTTCTCTTTTCTTTTTATTTCCTTTTTTGGAGAGGTATTTGCTATAGGGCGCATGCACTCACCAGACAGAGAGAAACAGAGAGACAGAAATCGAGAAATCTCCTCCCCCCCAGGGGAGATGGTCACGCCGCAATCCCTTCTCTTCCGTTCTCCTCTTGGGATCTTGGGCACGCACGCACACGCACCCGGCGTGAGTTTTAAGCCACCGGGTCCTGGACGTGAACCACAGTTGACTACATGGGAGTCCAGCAACATAGCCATTACGCTAACTGCTGGTCCCCTTTCTCTTTTCTTAAGAACAATCTTCATCCGGGAATTCTGATCCTGGGTCTTCTGTCTATTAAGCTGTTGTTGGTTCTTACTCATTTCGAGACTGAGGGGCTGGAATGTCATACCTCTCTCCACCACCCATCTTCAGCTCCCTTGTCATCTTTCAGTCTGCTTTTCCGATTGCAGGATTGCCACCACCTGTCCTCTTCCTGGCTGCCTAGCCTGGGGTAACAAGAGCTGCTTTCTGACAGATCCCCTCCTTTGTCTCAACGCATAAGTTTCCATGGGCCAATCTGCTGAGCTCAGCCTAGGTGCTGAGGCCAACATTGGAGTCTCCTCAGCACACAAGTTTGAGAGAAGTCCTGATGACTTCAAGCTGGGAACTATGGCGGCGGTTCCCTCTGGATGTCAAAGCCCTCCTCCCGCTCCGGGGAGAGACGAGGCACGGGTTGAACCAGAAGAAACAAACTTTGTGTGTGTGTGTGTGTGTGTGTGTGTGTGTGTGTGTGTGTGTGCTATAGGGTGCATGCGCTTGCCAGAAAGACAGAGAGAGACAGAGAGACAGAAAGCAAGAAATCACCCCCTCCCCATAAGGGGATGGCCATATCGCAATCCCTTCTCCTCCATTCTCCTCTCGGGATCTTGGGCACACACGCACATGCGCCTGGCGTGAGTTTTAAGCCACTGGGTCCGGGACTCGAACCGCGGTCAGCTACATGGGAGTCCAGCGACATAGCCATTATGCTAACTGCTGGTCCCAAGAAACAAACTTTTTAAGAAGATTAGCAAAGGTAGGATGTTAGAGCTGGTTGGCCCCAAGGTGGCCAGGTTTTCAGGAGCGGTTGGTTGCTTCGGCTGTACCTACAGGGGACGTTGGTAACTGGGACGACTCCAGGGTCTGCACCTTTGTGGGGTCAATGATTCTTCCTGAGCTGCCCGATAGGGACTTTTTTTTTTTTTTCTCTCTTCTGTTTCAGGCTCAGCGTGAACCAGATCACAGACAAGGGGGTGAAGGTGCTGTACGAAGAGCTGAGCAAATACCGAATCCTGACGTTTCTGGGGTATGTCTTTCCAAGACCACCGATATCACCAGCGTGGCAGGAAATTGCCATTCGCGTGGGCTGCTGGAAGATGAAACGGGTGCCCAGGGCGGGAAGAGCACTGGCCAGGGAGTCAGAAGTCCTGGGTTCTCATCTCAGCTCGGCCAGCAACTCTCTATTAGAGCAAGTCGAGAGATCTCAGCTCCTCGGCCTCCTCACCTGTAGAACTGGGATTTTTTTTTTTTTCTTTTTATTTAGGGAGGTTTTTGCTATATGGCGCGTGCACTCGCCAGACAGACAGAGAGAGACATAGAGACAGAAAGCGAGAAATCACCCCCCAAGGGGGATGGTCATGCCGCAATCCCTTCTCCTCCATTCTCCTCTCGGGATCTTGGGCACGCACGCACACGCGCCCAGCGTGAGTTTTAAGCCACCGGGTCCGGGATGCGAACCGCGGTCGACTACGTGGGAGTCCAGCGACATAGCCATTATGCTAACTGCTGGTTCCCTAGAACTGGGATCTTAACATAAGCAAGTAGCTTTGTGAAGAGTGGTCAGAGGATGCCAAGAACATATGGGGACATGCTTGCAAGCGTTCAACTACTGTGTATGCCGCAGCCTACGACTGTGAGCCACAATCCCTCATCCGGGACTCTGAGCATGACGTGAGTAGGATCCAGGGTCTCCACATGGCAGTGGCATGGCCAGCAGGGTCTCGGGCAGTCCTCCACCTACATGCCTTCATATTTCTGCAGCACAAATGCTTCGATGTTCATATATTCAGGTATCTGAATAAGAAAAGTCCACACAGAACTCCCCACCCGTTGCCGGAGGAGTTCTGAAGCACTTGAGGTGTGCCGAGCACTTGGACTTCTGCTTTGAGATAAAGGACTGTGACCAGTCCACCCAGCCCTGCAGGCGCCGCTCACTCTGGGCAGGGGCAGCTGTCCCGCTTCTTTGGGTCTCGGTTGTAAAATGGGCATGTTGAAGGAAGTGGTCCCAGGCTGCCCCTCAGCTCTGGAGGTCTGTGCAGCTCTGTGCAGCCCGGGACCCTCACAACCTCAGTGAGAAGCTTTTGTTCTGTCAAGATGCGAATAGTAATCTTTGTAAAAATCATTTTTGAAAATTTTAATTATTTTTAAGTTTTGCTATAGGGCATGCATGCTCACGAGAGAGAGAGACAGGGGGGTGGGGAGTGAGAAAACAAGCCACCCGGTCTGGGATTTGAACTGCAGTCAGCCATGTGGGAGTCCAAGACCTTAACCACCACACTACCTGCTGCCCTGCTGATTGTAGTCTTAATTGAACAAATACCCATCACCTTACATTTATGGAGCAGTTGTGTTCCAGGACTTCAAGTTATGCCATAGGACCCCCATGGTGTGGGGGGAGCAACAGGTACATGAAGATAAGTAACTAGGGGACCAGCAGTTAGTGTAATGGCTATGTCGCTGAACTCCCGTGTAGCCGACCGCAGTTCGAGTCCCGGACCCAATGGCTTAAACTCACACCGGGTGCGTGTGCGTGCATGCCCAAGATCCCGAGAGAAGAATGGAGGAGAAGGGATTGCGGCGTGGCCATCCCCCCTGGTGGGGTGATTTCTCGCTTTCTGTTTCTCTGTCTCTCTCTGTCTTTCTGACGAGCGCACGTGCCCTATAGCAAACACTTCTCCTAAATAAATAAATAAATAAATAAATAAATAGCTAGCTAGCTAGCTAGCTAGCTCCAGATCAGAAAGCTGGGGAGAGTTGTAGAGCTGGTTTTGAACCCAGGCTGTGGGACCCCAGAGTCCTTCCCTGTTTTCTTACATGTTCTTTCAACCTGGCCCTCAGAAGTCAGTAGACAAAACACACCTGCTTAAAGAAATAGAGGAGGCTGTTAAAACGGAGTCATAGCGTCTCATGGCTGTGCTTTCTCTCAAAGCTTATACAGCAACCAGATCACTGACGTCGGAGCCAGGTACATCGCCAAACTCCTGGATGAGTGCAAAGGCCTCACACACCTTAAGTAAGTGGGACTGGGCACGGAGGTCTTCCACACTTCTCCTTGCTCCTCTGAGTTACCCCTCTTGTCATTCAAAGAATAAATGGCACCATAAAGAGCTTTTTACCTAAAGCCTCCACTTGCTTCAGGGCCACACTGACAAGTAAGAGGAGACCTGTCTGTGGAGGTGACCTTGACCTGGGGAGGGATAACAACCTCAGCAAGGCAGGGCCATCTGTCATTGGCATTTTGACTTCATTAACTTCTGAGTGGAAGAAAAGTCAAAACCCTCACCCTTTCTGAAGGGCTAGAGAAGCAGGTCTTTTCACCCCCAAGCGAGTTTTCTGTCTGGTTGCAAGCAAGAGCTTGATCCTGTGCCCGTCATGGAAATGGCCTTCTCAAGGTGACATAATGCCTACTCCTGCCCCGGCGGGACACACAACTCGGCCATCTGCAGTCAGCAGGAGCACCCAGGCCTGCTGCTGATGGAAGAGGGTGACTCCCGTGGTCACTTAGAGAGCCCCAGGGAAGTCTCAGGTCCCTAGGCTGCTGCAGAGACTGCGGCCCTGTTTGGGCTGCAGGGTATTCTTAGCTCCCCCAGACATTGGCCACTCTTTCCCAAGAGGCCCGGCTTCCTGACTGGGTCTCAGGGCTTCAGGTCGTCCTGAGAGGAGGCGCAGGGCACTGCTGTGTGGCTCTCCGGAGGAAGACCTCCCTTCCCAGAGGGGGCAGAGGGCGGCCGGTGTGGGAGTGCCCGTCCAGCGGCCGACTGACTGCCCGGCTGGCTGCCCGGCTGGCTGCCTGGCTCTCTCTGCAGACTGGGGAAGAACAGCATAACAAGCGAAGGGGGGAAGTGTCTGGCCCTGGCTGTGAAGAACAGCAAATCCATCTTCGAGGTTGGGTGAGTAGACGTGAGGGCACACACATGGGCTCTGGGTACATGGCTCCTGCTGGTCTTTCTGCACCCCACCTCTGTGTCCATCTGCAGGGGAGACAGCAACGAGCTTCCACCCCTGATATCCTGGCGGCTTCAGCGTGGGCACGTTGCGGGAAGCTCCAGGCCTGGCCACGTCAGTTGCACAGACTTTACGTCTCACCCAAATCAGTATCATCGCCACCTCTGGCCGATGGAGGGGCCTGCGAGCCCTCGGTGGTAGTTTTATGGGCAGACGTGCTTCGCTTTAAAAATAAGGTGCATCCTCCCAAGGCCATTTCTTTCCATTTTTTAGTTGTGAATCCCACATAATGATCATTTGCCACCTCGGCCATTTCAGTACAGCTCAGTGTTACTAAGAACGTTCATATCCTTAGACAGCCATCGCCACCACCCACCCCCAAGACCCTGCATCTCACAGAACTCAACTCTGTGCCCACCAAACAGCAGCTCCATCTCCCTCCCTCCGTCCCAGCCACCATTCTGCTTTCTGGCTTAGTGAACTTGACTATCCTAAGCAGGATCAGACAGCGTTTGCCTTTCTGTGATGGCCTATTTCACTTAGCGTAATGTCCTCAAAGCCCATCCTTGGTGTGGCGTATCAGAATCTCTTTCCTTCTTTTTTTTTTTTTTTATTATTTTTTTTGGTTTTGTTTTGAAGAGGTTTTTGCTATAGGGTGCATGCGCTGGCCAGAAAGAGAGAGAGAGAGACAGAGAGATAGAAAGCGAGAAATCACCCCCCAGGGGGGATGGTCACGTTGCAACCCCTTCTCCTCCATTCTCCTCTCAGGAGCTTGGGTGTACACGCGCCCGGCGTGAGTTTAAGCCGCCGGGTCTGGGATTCGAACCGTGGTCAACTGCATGGGAGTCCAACGACGTAGCCATTATGCCAACTGCTGGCCCCAGAGTCTCCTTCCTTCTTAACCCTGAGTAATACCCCTCCGTGTGCATATACCACAGTTTCCTTATCCATTCAGCAGAGAGCACGTGGGTTGCCTCTGTGTTTTAGCCGTTATGAAAATTCTGCTCTGAATATGAGTTTACAGATATCTCATTGAGGCCCTGCTTTGAGATCTTTGGGATATATACCCGGAAGTAGAATCGCTGGATCAGACAGTAATCCATTTTAATTTTTTGAGGAACTGCCATATTGCTTTCCACAGCAGCTGTACCATTTTACATCCCCACCAACAGTGCGCTAGATTCCAGTCTCCATACCCCTGCCAACACTTGCTATTTTCTGTTTGTTTTGTTTTGTTTTGTTTTGTTTTTTTCAACAGTAACCACCCTAATGGGTAGGAGGTAATATCTCATCATGTTTTTTTTTTTTTTTTGGGGAGGTTTTTGTTTTAGGGGGCATGGGTCCCCCAGATAGGGTGCATGCGCTCACCAGACAGACAGAGAGAGACAGAGAAACAGAAAGTGAGAAATCACCCCCTAGGGGGACGGTCACGCCGCAATCCCTTCTCCTCCATTCTCCTCTCGGGATCTTGGGCACGCACGCACACGCGTCCGGCATGAGTTTTAAGCCACTGGGTCCAGGACGCGAACCGCGGTCGACTACGTGGGAGTCCAGCGACATAGCCATTACACAAACTGCTGGTTCCCTCATCATGGTTTTGATTCTGGAGGCTTTACAAAGCTTCTTAGATCAGTACCATTTTTTAGCGGATTATAAAAGGAACACAGATCATTTCAATGATGGAAACTAATAAAAACGATCTCCTCAGGAATAGTTACTGTTACAGCTTGAGGTCAGTTAAGCAAACTCTTCCCCTTTCTGTACATTGTCTTTTTTTTAGAGAGAGATTCTTGCTATAGCATGCATGTGCTCGCTGGAGAGACAGAGACAGAGAGACAGAAAACCGGGAATTACCCCACAGGGGAGATGGCCACACCGCAGTCCCTTCTCTTCCATTCTCCTTTTGGTGTTTTGGGCACACACACATCAAGACTTAACCGGAGTCAGCCATGTGGGAGTCCAGCAGCGTAACCATTACACCATCTGCTGGTCCCTGTGCATTTTCTTTTAGTTCAGCAGTGGTCAGACTATCTGGGCAGAGTTTTAGCCTTCCCTTGTCATTGAATCTCATGTCATGAATAGTTTTCTCCTTTATCAAAAATCTGATAATGGGCCAGCAGGTGGCATGGAGGGTAAGCCAGCTGGATCCCACATGCTCCACTGTGCAGTTCAAGTCCCAGACCCGGGTGGCTTGAAAATCATGCCAAGCATCTGTGTCCTGAATGGAGGAGAAAGGATTGTGGCATGGTCCTCCCCTCTGGGGGAATGCTTTCTCTCTCTCTTTCTTCCTGCCTCCCGTGAGTGCATGTACCTCACAGCAAAATAAATAAATAAATAAATAAATAAATAAATAAATAAAATAAAAGTGGTATCATTCCATTTTATACTAAAACACTGAACTCTCCTGTTCTGGGGCTTTGGGAAGCCACCCTGGCAGGACGTGGGCAGGCAGCTTGCCTGGTGCAGTGTGGCGTGAGGCAGCTGGGGTTCTGCTGGGAGCGGCCTGGCAGCCAGCCTTGCTCTCTTTCCACGAGGACCAGCTGGCACTGTTTTAGGCTGAGCACTGGACACAGTGCCTTGAATCTGTCAACTCACTGAATCCTCACAGCATCCCACGAGGATGCTTTTATTATCCCCATTTTACAGATGAGGAGACTGAGGTCTAAGAAATCACCTCGCTGGGACCAGCAGTTAGCGTAATGGCTATATCGCTGGACTCCCATGTAGTTGACCACAGTTCGCGTCCTGGACCCGGTGGCTTAAAACTCATTCCGGGCACGTGTGCGTGCGTGCCCAAGATCCTGAGAGGAGAATAGAGGAGAAGGGATTGTGGCGTGACCATCCCCCCTGGAGGGTGATTTCTCACTTTCTATCTCTCTGTCTCTCTCTGTCTGTCTGGAGAGCGCACACACCCTATAGCAAAAAAAAAAAAGAAAAAAAAAAAGAAATCACCTCGCTTGCCCAAGGTAGCATAGCTCTTAGGTGGCAGTGCCAGCAAGGAGCCCGGCACCTGGTCCCGCAGACTGTTCTAGCCAGATCCTCTCTGCTGCTCAGCTGGGCAGGGATGGGGGAGGGATACAGCTTCATCGTCCTGGCTCTCCACCCGTGTTGCAGCCACCCATAGGGTCTGGCTCAGTAGCATCCTCCTTCACTTCAGTAGGAGTGATTTCCCCATGCGCTCGCTGATCCTTGCTTCCTGGGAGACTGCCTTCCGGAGTGTCTGACCCCTGCCTGGAGCGGAGCAGATCTGGGAGCCCTGCCCTCTCCGGCCTTCCCCTTCCTCTCTGCTGCTGTGGACCTTCACTGGCTGCAGGTGCCCTGTGGGTGGTTTCCTTCTGGGGCAGCAGAAGCACCCGGATGGGACTGAGCTCTGTGAATGCTCTTGCTGACCAGTGGGCTCTGAGGTTGCTGCTCTTTATTCCTCCCTTCCCTTTGGCTGTGAAATCAGAACCCCTCACTGAGGGGTCAGGGTGAGGAATGAGCCCCCAGGCCACAGCCCAGGGCCCCAGGACAGCCACCGCTGCTGAGCATGCAGTCAGCCGTGGCCACTGGCAGACAAGGAGGAGCCTGGGTTCTGCAGCAGCCTTTCACCGTCCTGCCTCTGCCCTCAGGATGTGGGGCAACCGCATCGGGGATGAAGGAGCCAAGGCCTTCGCAGAGGCTCTGAGGAACCACCCCAGCCTGACCAACCTGAGGTAACAGCACCTCCTAGACCTGCCCTCTCCAGGGTCCCCAGTTGCTCCAAGCAACCCTAGGTTTGCAGGGGAGGAGCCAAGGGGGAGGGACGCTCGGCTCCCACAAGGTAGGGGGGACCTGCCCGTGTGATCTTTATTCTTTTTAAACTTGGCACAGTGGAGGTGTGATGCTCTGCAATGCTGAAGCCACATGGGCAAGTTCTGGGCTATATAGGGGTGTCAGGGGTCTCCCCTGCACATTCCTGAGGCTGGGGTGGGTCACTGCCAGAAGACTCTGTTGGGTCTGTACCCCCCTGTCGCTTTCTCCCCTGCTGCCAACCGCCGATGTGTTTAAGGTGCCACATAGAAAAGAGAAATTTTAAAAAAGAGTTAGTGCAGAGGTTAAGCACTGGGCAGAGAGCTAGATCCTACATGGCCCATGGTTCGAACCCTGGTCCTGGTTACTTGAAAAATACGCCAGGCGTATGTGCGTGCATGTCCAAAATTCTGACAGGATGGAGACATGGAGAAGAAACTGAGGCATGACTATGCCCGTTGGGAGATGCTCTCTCTCTCTCTGGCAAACTTACGTGCCTCCTGGTGACTAAAACAAAAAACTGAAATGCCTTTATATTGATACATAAGAGGCATAAAGGAGTACACTATTCTTATTTTTTTAAAATGTATTTATTTTAAAGTTTATTTATTTACTTTTTCCATGAGGGAAAGTCAGAGAGATACACACTTCCAACAGAGTCTTCATGCCGGGGTCCACCCTGAGTCTCAGCTGACCTACCTCATAGGCACGTGCACCTGCCGTGCTGAGGGCGGTCCCAGGGAGTGAACCAAGGACCCTTCCTGTAGGGGCCCAGTTGCATTACTGCTACATCACCTCATGCCCCAGAAGAACATTATTCTTAAGTGTGTGTTCAGCTCAATGACGTTTGCACACGGACTCACTAATGTCAACGCCTACCCAAGTGAAGAGAGCGGACATTTCTGCCTCTCAGCCATCTCCACGTGTCCCTCGGGGCTGAGGGAAGAACCCTGAAGTCTAAATAAGACTTACAAGGACACAGCCCCAGCCGGCAGATCCTTTGTCGTTCTCAGGACAGTGCCGGGACATGGAACCCTTCCCCTCTGTACCAGAGGTGCTTCGTCCCAGCCTCCGTCAGGTCTCTGGCCAAATCCAGCAGCCATGGTGTCTCCAGACTATCCTCTCGGCCACTGAAAGCAAGCCCAGGGTCCTGGATCAGTGGCGGAAGCGGGGTTCCC